CCCCTGGGGTGGCCCACTGTCCAAGTCTAGCTCAGTCTCAAGTCCAGCCCTCTCACGTCTCTGGTTGCCGGTTCAACAGGGCACCCAGACAAGCGCGCCCTGTGGGGAGAGCTGGGCAGGGCCGGCCGCTGCCACCCCGGCTGCCGGCTTCGCCAGATGGAGGTTCTGCCTGGTGTCCCGCGTCTCCTCTTTACTTGGGAATTTCCCCATTCCATGGGCAACAAAGATCAGTCTGGAAATGCAGCTCAGACTCACCTCTCAGCAGACACAACGCAAGCTCCAATCCTGGGTTGTTCTCACAGCGCCATCTTGAGTCGGTATCCCGTGAATTTCTTATACAGCTGCAATTTCATCATAGTCCTACTAACAAAATGTGTCTTGAATTTTAATATCTTTTACATAATTTTTGGCTGATCTAATGGCTAACTAGAAACAGAGAAGAAAGTTCAAGGAGAGGAAAACAAGAGTAGAGATAATACATTTATCTCAGTGGGAAAAGAAAATTTATAATAATTTGTACATGTTACCTGTAACCTCGCCAGACACATTTTTTTCCAAAGGCTGTCGGCCCAGCAGGCTTATCACTAAATATGACAGAACATAATAAATAACTATTAATACTACTTTGTCTGCCACAAAGTGCAGCAAAAATTTAAAGCCAGAAAGGATATTAGAAGTCATCAATTCTATACTACTTCTTTTAGGAATAGAAAATTACTCCTCAAAGAGTGCTTTACCATATTATCTGTTTTACTATAGCATGCTTCTGAAAAACATTCATTAATTACTAATTTCTTATACATAGAGCCTGCCAGAGATATCTGACCATAAGCCTTTGTAAATGTACAACTCCCTTGTTACTACCTTAAATTGTATGTTTTGCATTAGAAGAACTTCATGTTTCATAATTTTTAATAATGTACTATACATATCTTAAGGAAGACTAAAAAAATTATGTTGAGACAGAAGAAATACTTTGACTTGAAGATTTGAAAATGATTTTTATATCAATTTAGAAATGTTTCTTCTTAATTCAGCGGTTTTCCTTTTTGGGGAGCTGACAGACATTGGGTACTTGTTCATAATAACTGGGTATATAAATGCAATATATATAATGAATAATTATGACTAGAAGTACTCGTGAATTTATCTATGTTGACCCTACTCCAGCTGGATTATCACCAAAATGCTATTTCAAGACCTTATGGGTTCAAGGATTTGAGGAATACATATTGTTGGCATTGAGTTCCATGGCTTGAAAAATCATTCCTACTAGTTTAAAATATGGTAGGAATTATAAGACAACCAGAAATTTTTAAAAATCCACAATAAAGTCACTAAATAGAAGAAAATAGTTACCAAAGTTAGAAAACTAACTTCTGGAAGGTTCTTCAGATAATCCTGTTTCTCATAGTACAAAGTACTTCATAGTTCCTCAAGGTCATCTAGGCCAGAAGTTCACCAAGTGTGGTCTCAAAACCAGAATTGTCGGGAAAAACAGCAAAGGAGAAGGACTTACAGAGTGCCTACATAAATTGGGTAATGATTAACACATAAATAAGCAACAACAAACTGCAGAAGGCCACAGGAGGCCTCTGAGGAGGAAGGCCTCTTCTCCATGCCTCATGTTCTGGTGCAAGGGTGACCTCGGCTCTGTTACCATAAACATTCTGCTCAAGGATATAAAACCTCTTTGTAGCACTATTATGCAGCCAGACTTGTAGGCTCTTTGTAAGTCCCTCATTCCATTGGCTGTACATAGATAATAAGCTAAAGAAAGCCACATGTTCTTGTTTTGTGAAACTCCCAAACTGCCACTGTCATCAATCCTTAGGATGACGCACCAGTTCCAGCTCACTGATTCACTCCATCATCACTCCACCCCTACCCTGTAGATCAAAGTGACTGTAATCAATAAATAGTGTGGATGATCACAGCTCGGGGCCTTCACTGCTTCTGCCAGAGTAATAAAGTGATGGCCCCCCGGTTCCACTTTCTCTCTTAATTTGTCTTTTTCCTACTCCTTTGTCGCCACTGAACTCGGGGTACCACAGGTGATGTAGGACTGGCTCCCTACATTCTGGTGCCCAACATGGGACTCGTGGATCCCTACATTCTGGCACACCAATGTGTGGGGTTCATGGGTTCCCTATGCAGAATCATCAGATTCACCTTGAATTATGTTAGAAAAGCAAATTCTCAGCAGGCCTAGAGCTACTCAATAAAAGCCTCTGTGCAGAAGGTAAGGAGAGCCATCAACCTATGTTTTAACAATCTTCCAAATGCTTCTAATGTGCAGTCACATTTTTGAGAACCACTAAACTAGGGCAAGTGTCACAGTCTCTGTCTGTGTTTTTTAAATGAGGGAAATAAAATAGAGAAAAGTACTACAATCCTTATGTCTTGAATATTGTGATTCCCTGGCTTTTCTCAGATCACACAAATACTCAGTAACAAATCCAAGTTGAGAATATATAACTCCTAACCTATGTAAAATTTAGGTTAGAATGATAAAATTTTAGAGGCCAAAGAGATGTTGAAGATGAATATATTTGGTGTATTTTATACTCTCATGTACTTCTAAACAATTACTACTCTTAAAATTGCTTATTTAATGTCTGACCCTTATACTGAATTGAATCTCTGTGAAGCAATGGACTACTTTGATCATTATTAGTTCTATAATGCCTTTACAGTAATTTTAATGTAGTATCTGCTTTTTTTTTCCCCCATTTCTTTGAGACAGAGTCTCACTCTGTCACTCAGGCTGGAGTGCAGTGGCACCATCTCGGCTCAGTACAACCTCCACCTCCCAGGCTCAAGTGATTCTCCTGCCTCAGCCTCCCAAGTAGCTGGGATTACAGGCACCTGCCACCATGTCCAGCTAATTTTTATGTTTTTGGTAGATATGGGGTTTCAACATGTTCGCCAGGCTTGTCTCAAACTCATGACCTCAAGTGATCCACCCACCTCAGCCTCCCAAAGTGCTGGGATTACAGGCGTAAGCCACCATGTCTGGCCAGTAGCTGCTTAATAAATATCTACTGACCTAATGATAATTCACTATACAGACATAAACATATGTTGTATAGATCCAGAAACTGATGATAACACTGAATTTCAATTACGTCCTCTCTCTAATCTGGTAAATTTGTAAGAAAATCATCTCTTCTGCTGATCTTTATACATACATAAATTAACAGATTTAGAGTTACCGAAATGTGGAGAGGGATGTTTATATATTTAGAGGGATGTTCTGATGTGTCTCCAAATAGAAAACCCATGACACATTTGATTTACCTTGAACACACAGAAACCACTGGAACAAAAAGAGAATATTATCTTTCCATAAGAAAGGAAATATTCGGAATAAAATTACTCAATTTTTTATTTCTACATAGAGACATCTAATTTATAAGTATAATAACTATGGAATTTATAAAAATATATTCCCTTTTTAACAAGCAAATCAACTATAATTCATCTTGACACTAATATGAATGTATGTATACATTTATTCATTATATGTTAATTTCTCCTTTGGGTTAATCGAAAGCTATATACAAAAAACAAAACAAAGCAAAAAAACTGAGACCTTATAAAAGTGCCTAGAATAATGTTTTGCTCATATGAAGACATAAAGATGAGGCTTCCACCAAAAAGCAAAGTATCAGGGCTTAGACAAGGGGAAAAATGTGGCTAAGGCTATACCAAATTATAGTTCAGTATGGGGATTCTGTAGCTAGGCATCTTTATTCAAATTCTACCTCTGTTATGTACCAGTTGTGTACCTTGGGCATATGCCTCCTTTTCTGCTCAGTAAAATGTTGAATAATAATAGTACTTTCCTTGTAAAGATAATAGGATTTGATGCATTAATATATATAAAGTACTTAGACATAAATGTTATCTATTATTATAGAGAACAGAGTACTAAATTAGGACCTAATCAGGTTCTATATATTTCTCTAACAATATGCTCTCAATATTAAAAGAAAATTGACAAAAAAAGAAGTCTTGCAAGTAACTAGAGATGGATGTTGCAAATATGTACAGCCCTCTAGGCTCTCCTCTGAGCATTCACACAAACTCATAAGATCCAGGTGAATGAAGTGACATTTAACTTGTGAAAGTATTTTGAAAATGGTAAAATACTTCAGAGATGAAAAGTAATGGCAAAATGACCAAATATCCAAATTATGTGCATAGTCTTGAAGGCTTTTTCCTTGCCTTTTTGGCTTCTTCCCTTGCTCCTACCCTCCTTTCCCCCATTAGACAGAAGCCTTCAATGGACCCATGAACATGTTCCCCTTCTCCAGGCTTAGAAAGTTGCTTCCCAGGAAATGTCCTAATCAGAAATTGTGTGTCCTTTAGGTTTTTCTTTAATATCATTTCCTCAGAGAAATCTTTCAACCAGGAAAAAATTAGAAAAATAAGTTCCTTGTTAATGCTATTATATTAGCTATACTCAGGCTATAATCTGTGTACTATGCCAAATCTCAAGAGTATTGAAAGTGAGACCTCTGTCTACCTTGTCTTGCTCACAGTAGGAACTTAAAAGTAAAGTTGACTCAATGGGCGTATCAGCCATCCTTATAATCCAGTGATGAACAAAGTAAAATATGTTAAAGAGAAAGAGTGAGACCTTGTGTTGCTCAACACAATTCTTTCATTTTATGGACCTCAATAAAAAAACTCCCAGTGAGTTTCATGGGAAAAGAAAATGTTTTTGAAGTTAGTCCATAGTAAATAGATGAAAAATAAGACTACTGCTAAATTTTTTCCATAAACATACTGAAAAATTAGGCTGCTTCTGTATACATATTTCTGACTTTGTGTAAATACACAGTGAAGATGTATTTTCCTTTCTTGTTCCTAGCATAACTCTAAATATTGTTTTTTAAAACAGTAATAATGTAATTACTAAATTAATTTTAGACACTAAAAATAACCCGCTAGTCTCCATTCTCATAAAAATCCTAGTGGAGTTTTGAAACTACGCCAGACCCACCACACTTAGCCAAAGCGACAGCAGCTGCCGAAAGACAAAGCAAGGATCCAGGTACCTTCTTTGGTTTCTTCATATTTTAGTGAGAAAGTTGTCAATTTGAATGTTGTCCAAATTCAGAAGCGAGAGCAAGAGTGTTTATCTGAAATACTGTCCCAGGCCTAAATACTACCTTGCAGGAGAAACAAAACCATTTACCTAAGAAAGAACTGAATGTACCATTTTATCCTCAGCAAACCTTATAATAACAAGATTTAGCTTGGGGAATGGTGATCATTGATGTACCTGGGGTGAAGTAATCTACAGCAAAGCTAGTCAAGTACTGTAAAGAAACTTGCAAACTATATCAAGGAAAAAAACATGAGGTTAGTAACGGGGAAAATAGATAGTAATTAGCAATAAGACCAAACAGGGCCTGCAGAATGTCAATTAGGAAGAGCTATAGAGCCTCAAAGTGAGGAAAGGCCCAGAGCTGGGCTCTGCAGCCACTGCTCCCCTCCAACATGGCCCTGAATCAGTCTGCACCTGTTTCTTGCTCTCTCCTCTGAATCTTCATTTTGCAAAGCATCCTGCATCTCTTTGGTGTCTATGCTTCAGAAAGTATAGGTACAGGAGAGAAGAGTGGTGAATGGTAAAGGGGGATGATAGCTGGAAAAAAGCTATCGATCTTTTACATATCATTTTTTTTCTCATTATATGTCTATGAAGTATGTATGATTGCATCCATTTTACAAATGAATACATTGCTATTTATAGAGGTTAAATAAGTTACCAGAGTTTCACAACTCCTAAGCCTCAGCAGGTTGATTCTAGCATGGAGACCATGCATTTTCCACCATCTCCTCCAGCCTCTTTTTAGCCTTTCTTTATTAGTTCTTTCTCTGTGAAAGCATGCAAATATGCCTTCAGAAGGCTCCCAAATGCTTTCTGAATCTTAGGACCTCAGGCTTTTCCCCATGTCCCCGTTTTTTCTAGCCTTCCTCCATCAGCAATACTTATATAGTATGTACACTCCATCAAAGAATTTCCTGAACCACTATAGTGTCTTATTATCTCTTTGGAACATCATCATCTCCCTAGGCATATTGTTATGCAGAACGGTGTCTCGTGACACTTATTTGTGTAATCATGCCAGCCTCATCTCATTTCAGACACTCAAAACTAACTCAACCCACTTCTTGCTTTTATATCCATTCGTACTGCTAGTGCCCTCCCCTGGAGGACAAGCACTGAAATCTTTATTTTGGTTTAGTTCAGGAATCTTTGTCATAACTACTGAACTCTTGCTGAAAGTAGCCATTGACAGTATGTAAACGAATGATGCTACCATACCGAAGGAGCCTGGACACAGCATTTAGCATATGCCAATAATAGCTGTATAGAAGGCCAAGGCAAAGCAATAAAATAAAATAAAGCCAACCTTTGAAAAATAGGAAGGTCAAATTTTCAGAGACTCTAGTGAGTAGTGAATATGCCCATGTGAGTATGAAAGTATTCATGTACATGACTCAGAGGGTCTTATCAAACAAGGTCTGTTGGTTTCCATGTCTTACAACAGCCTAAAAATAACCCCTGCAGGCTCCGATCCCTAACCCTCCAGCTCATTTCCCTATTCTGTCACTTCTTTAACCAATATTCTATTACTTTCTTTTTCCTCCGTCACCACACTGGCATCTGACTGAGAAAGGATATGGCTCCCAAACTTTAACTCAATCAGAACTACCTGGAAGACTTTTTAAAAGACAGATTGCTGAGCCTCAACAGGGTTTCTAATTCAGTAGTCTAGGGGATCTGTTAATTTGCATTTCTAACAAATAATCAGATGATACTGATGCTGCTAGACTTAGAACCATACTTAGAGAACACTGGATTAAAGTCACTTTTCAACAGAACACAAAGCTTCATGTAAAATAAATTAAGTGTGAGGTTTTCCTATCAAGCTTGGTAATCCCAGGTTTCTGCAGTTAGAGGCAAAGGGAGAGGGAGACAGAGAGAGCGAGAGAGACAGACATACAGGAAGAAAGGCAGAGAAGAAAGACCAGGATATCTAAAATGCATGTCTAGAAAAGAGCTGTGGCTGTGGCTGTTCATATATGGGACACAGGGGTATTAAATATATAAGAAGCCTTCCAAAAAATCTAAGAATATTTTACAGGCAAAGAAACCACAGTGTTAATTTTTAATTATATAATTGTACAAGATTTAATACTACCTTTGCAATCTCAGTTATTTAAGAGAAAAATATTTCAAAGTTACCAATCCCTAGTGACTACCATGTAACTCTCATTTTCATCTACTCTGAATGTTGAAAATTATGCTATACAACCCACCCTTGTATCAGGTCCAGCTCTGCCTGGAGAAGATGCACATCCAAAATTGAGAATAGCATATCTCCTTTAGGAAAAGGCTAAGCAATTTAATATGTGTAAGGGACAATGAGCCACAAACTTGGTGAGCAAATGGCACTCTGGACTACTCTACCAAGTATCTCAAGACTTCTCTTCCAGATGGAATTGGATCTCTCTACACAATTCCCAAACTTAGGTATGTCCATATGACTTGTGCCTACTAAAGGGGAACAGATGCACTGTGTGTTCCTTCTGGGTGGGAGTTCTAGAATTGCATGATCCTGCTGGACATGTAGCTAGAACAAGAAATAAATATTTATTGTTTTAAGCCACTGAGATTTTGGGATCATTTTTGACCTTAACATCACCTTGACTGTTACATTTTCAGGGTAGTTAACATAGGACTCTTTGGAAAACAGCAATCAGTTGATGATACCATTCTTAGCACTGTTAATTACCTTTGCTCTGTGGAAATGTATTCTAAAGTATTTGATAGCTATAAAGTATTAGGCAAGACACTTTCCTACTTAAGATTTATTCTTCTGTATAATAAAGAGTTGAGCTGTATGTCTAAGGACCCATAAGATCTATGAATCTACAGGAGAAAAATTAATCCATAACTTACTAAATACAGGCTACTAATACAGGCTTTCTATTTCATATTTGAACCCCAAGTTTAATACTCTCCTTTGAAGATGATCTGAGATACACTGTGAGGAATATTGAAATAAGGATGTTCAGGAGAGTTATTTAAGAGGTTTGTTATACAATGTCTAATTGAAGTCCAAACAGACATAAAAATAGCCTTAAAAAATGAAGAGAAACAAGAGTCTCTGACAAATTGCTGGACCTCTTAAAATATTCTAGTATGGCCAGGCGCGGTGGCTCAAGCCTGTAATCCCAGCACTTTGGAAGGCCTAGGTGGGTGGATCACGAGGTCGAGAGATCAAGACCATTCCGGTCAACATGGTGAAACCCCGTCTCGACTAAAAATACAAAAAATTAGCTGGGCATGGTAGCACATGCCTGTATTCCCAGCTACTCAGGAGGCTGGGGCAGGAGAATTGCCTGAACCCAGGAGGCGGAGGTTGCGGTGAGCCAAGATCGCGCCATTGCACTGCAGCCTGGGTAACAAGAGCGAAACTCTGTCTCATAAAAAAAAAAAAAAATACTCTAGTATTAGAGAAACAGCAGTAGAATCATACTAAAGTACAAAAGCATAAATTCTACTCTATTGTTTTTTGCCTGGGATCCTTGATTCACATGTATAGAGAAAGAACTTTATAATTTTGTGTTATTAGATATTATCTGATGAATTGGAACTAAGTACTGGTGTCTTTTCCTTTTATAACAGCATTAATCCTATCATGAGAGCTTCACTCTTATAATCTAATTACCTCCCAAAGCTCCACCTTCTAATACCGTCACACTGGGAATTAGAATTTCAACATACGAATTTGAAGGTGTAGGGGGAAGAAACCTCCAATCCATAAGAGAAGAGAAAGGAGGAGAAGGAAAACAAAAAAAAGGAAGGTAATAGAAAGCATGCATAGTCAACAGAAATTGCCTGTTTGTATAATGAAAATTACCATAACAATACCAGCTCAGATTGTGCATAATTGACACATAAGGAATGGCTATATTAGATTGTTGCAAATATTAACTGGGATACAGAAAAATCCAGCACTATCTTTTAAGGCCTCCAGCAAAATCACAGAAGTGATTATCAAATTTTTCACAACAATTTTTCATGGCAATTACAATCTTCATTAACAAAAATATTTAATATTTTCTTTTTTCAACATTGTTAAAGAAGAATATGAGTGAAAGTTGGTAGAAAGAAAGCGCGTGAGTTCCCATTCTGAACCTGTGAAATCTGAGCTCTACGTATTTCTTAGGACTCACAGAACTTCAGGGCCAATGAATGCTCTCATTTTCTCCCAAGCAGCGAATAATTCCATGGCTAAATGGAAATGTATTGCATAATGTAAATGTGGATATGAAGGACAACTAAAGCAGAAAAAATGTTCTGATTTGTCTCCCTTTTAGCTCATATTGGCCTATAAACCTGAAGAAACACAGCTTCAAATTAAGTCTATTATTTGTAGCTGTTCTGGAGATGCTTTATGATATAGGAAGAACTGAGTTCCAACTTTTCAAAATGTAAAATCTGCACCAAATTTATTGTTATGAAAAACATGATGTGCAGTAAGAATTATCTGTATATGTGTACTTCATGGGTTTTTTTGGTTTGGTCCTCTGAGAAATAGAGAGAGAGAGAGAGAGAGAGAGAGAGAGAGAGAGAGAGAGACATATGTATATAGAATTTCTTTAGGTCATGTTTACAGTCAGTAAAATTTAGGTAGAATTATATGCAGTAAATTTTAGTCTTTCAGATGACTTAGGATAACCGTATACAGTCATATAACCACCATCTTAATGAGGACATGAAATAATTTCATTGTTTTCAAAAGTATCCTCATACCTATTTGTTGTTAATCACCTTTAACAACCCAGGCCCTACAAATCCCTGATCGTATTTCTTTCCCCATAGTTTTGCATTCCCAGACTTTCACATATATAGAATTATATAGTATGTTATCTTTTGTAACTGATTCATATCACATGGTATAATTCTTTGAGATTCATCTATGTTGTTTTACATATCACTACTTTGTTGACTTTCATTATTGAGTAATGTTTCACCGTATGGATGCACCACAATATGTTCGTTTATTCTTCAGTTCATGGGTGTCTGAGTCATTTCCAGTTTTGGATTATTACAAATAAAGTGGCTATCAACACTCAAATACAGGTCTTACTGTAGACAAATATTTTCCTTTCTATCAGACAAATATTTAGGAGTGGGATCACTGAACTGTGTGGTAAGCGTATGTTTAACTTAAGAAAACTGCCAAAAGCTTTTCAAAGTAGCTATATCATTTTCCATTTGTAATGCATAAAAATTTCAGTTGTTCTGCATCCTTGTCAACACGTGACATTGTCAGGATTTTATTTTATTGTTTTTACCTTTTTTTTTTTTTTTTGAGATGGAGTTTCACTCTGGTTGTCCAAGCTAGAGTGAAATAGCCTGATCTTGGCTCACTGCTACCTCTGCCTCCCGGGTTCAAGCGATTCTCCTGCCTCATCCTTCTGAGAAGCTGTAACTACAGGTATGTGCCTCCACGCTTGGCTAATTTTTTGTATTTTTAGTAGAGACTGGGTTTTTACCATGTTGGCTAGGCTGGTCTCGAACTCCTGACCTAAGGTGATTAGCTGGACTCAGCCTCCCAAAGTGCTGGGAATACAGGCGAGAGCCACCGTGCCCAGCTGTTTTTGCCATTTTGATAGATGTATAGTGGTGTCTCATGGTCGAAATACACATTTCCTAATGACCAGTGAAATTGAACATATTTTCATATATTTATATGTCATCTGTATATTTTCTTTGGTAAAATATATATTTAAATATCTTGCTGTACTTTCAAATTGGTATTTATTTTCAAAGTATAGAGGAGTAAGAATTGTTTGTATATGTTAGGTAGAAGTTCTTTATCAGGCATGCAATCCACAAATATTTTCTTTCAATCTAGGATTTAAATTTTGATTTACTTAACCTAGTCTTTAAACAAAAAAAATACATATATATATTATATATATAAAATTTTAATGATGTCAAATTTACTTCTATGTGATACTCTAGAAGTTTCATAGTTTTAAGTTTTATATTTGGATATATGATCCATTTCTAATAAAATTTTGTACGTGGGAGAAAATATAGGTTGCATTTCATTTTTTAAATGTGGCTGTCCAATTATCCTATCACTATTTGTAGAAGAAATTATCATTTTTTGTTCACTGAATTGCCATGCCAGAAGATATCTGTCAGAAATCAATTAATCACATGAATGAATATTTCTGAATTTCCTATTCTGTTCCACTGATTATTGTGTCTATTCATTTGCCAATAAAATGCTGTCTTGATTACTATGGCCTTGTAGCATGTCTTAAAATCAGTTCATATGAACTCTCAACTTTGTCATCTTTTTTAAAAATAATTTTGGTTATTCTAGGTCTTTTTATATTCAATTTAATTTTTAAAATAAGCTTCTCAGCTTCTATAATGCGTCTTCTGGGTTTTTTATTGACATAGCATTGGATCTATAGCTCAATTTGAGGATAATTGATATCTTAAAATACTACATTAATATAAACACTTTTTCTTTAAGTCACCTTTAAATTATATCAGCATTTTTTGTACTTTTCAGCATTCAAATCTAACACATATTTTTAAAGATTTAGTCCTAGCTTATATTTTTTGATACTGTTATAAATAGTATTTGTGTTAGTCCATTTTGCATCTTGGGTAATTTATGAGAAATAAGATTTATTTGAATCACACCCTGCAGGCTATACCAGAAGCATAGCACCAGCATCTGCTTCTGGTGAGGGGCTTGGGGAGCTTCCAATCATAGCAGAGTGGAAGAGGAGTCATGTATTACAAGGTGAGAAAGGAACCAATAGAGAGAAGAGAAGAGGGGGCCAAACTCTTTTTTTTTGTTTTGGACTTTAAGTTCTGGGGTACACATGCAGATCTTGCAGGATTGTTGCATAGGTACACACAGGCCATGGTGGTTTGCTGTCTCCATCCCCACATCACCTACATCAGGCATTTCTCCCAGTGTTATTCCTCCCCAACCTCCCTGCCCCTCGCTTTCCCTCCTCTAGCACCCCGCTCCCCAACAGGCCCTAGTGTGTGATGTTCCCCAACCTGTGCCCATTAGTTTTCATTGTTCAAACACCCACCTACGAATGAGAACATGTGGTGTTTGAATTTCTGTTCATGTCAGTTTGCTGAGAATTATGTTTTTCAAATTCATCCATGTCCCTGCAAAGGACATGAACTCATTGTTTTTTAAGGCTGCATAGAATTCCATGGTGGATATGTGCCACTTTCCTTTATCTGTCTTTGATGGGCATTTGTGGTGGTTCCAGGTCTTTGCTATTGTAAACAGTGCTGCAGTGAACATACGTGTGCATGTGTCTCTAGAATAGAATGATTTATAAGTCTTTGGGCATATACCCAGTCATGGGATTGCTGGGTCAAATGGAATTTCTATTTCTAGATCCTTGAGGAATCGCCACACTGTCTTCCACAATGGTGGAACTAATTTACACTCCCACCAACAATGTAAAACTGTTCCTATTTCTCCACATCCTCTCCAGATCATTTTTTAATGATTGCCATTCTAACTGGCATGAGATGGTATCTCAATGTGGCTTTGATTTTTGCAATTCTCTAATAACCAGTGATGATGACCATTTTTTCATATGTTTGTTGGCTGCATAAATGTCTTCTTTTGAAAAGTGTCTGTTCATATGTTTCACCCACTTTTGAATGGGTTCATTTGTCTGTTTCTTGTAAATTTTAGTTCTTTGTGGATTCTGGATATATTAGCCTTTGTTAGATGGGTAGATTGCAAAATTTTTTTCCCATTCTGTTGTTTGCCAGTTCACTCTAACATTGTTTCTTTTGCTGTGCAGAAATCCTTTAGCTTCATTAGATCCCATTTGTCTATTCTGGCTTTTGTTGCCATTGCTTTTGGAGTTTTAGTCATGAAGCCCTTTCCTACACCAATGCCTTAAATGGTATTGCTTAGGTTTTTTTCTAGGGTTTTTATGGAGTTAGGTCTTATGTTTAAATCTTTAATCCATCTAGAGTTAATTTTAGTTTAAGGTGTAAGGAAGGGGTCCAGTTTCAGCTTGCTGTACATGGTTAGCCAGCTTTCCCAATACCATTTATTAAACAGGGAATCCTTTCCCCAGTGTTTTATTTTGTCAGGTTTGTCAAATATCAGATAGTTGTAGGTGTGTGGCATTGCCTCCAAGGCCTCTGTACTGTTCCACTGGTCTTTATCTCTGTTTTGGTACCAGCACTATGCTGTTTTGATTACTGTAGCCTTGTGGTATAGTTTGAAGTCAGGTAGGGTGATGCCGCCAGCTTTGTTTGTTTTTGCTTAGGATTGTCTTGGCTATCCATGTTCTCTTTTGGTTCCATATGAAGTTTAAAGTGGTTTTTCCAGTTCTGTAAAAGGGTCACTGGTAGCTTGTTGGTGATAGCATTGAATATATAAATCACTTTTGGCAGTATGGCCATTTTTACTATTTTGATTATTCCTAACCATGAGCATGGAATGTTTTTCCATATATTTGTGTCCTCTCTTATTTCCTTGAGCAGTGGTTTGTAGTTCTCCTTGAAGAGGTCCTTCATATTCCTTGTTAGTTGTATTCCTAGGTATTTTATTCTCTTTGTAGCTATTGTGAATGGGAGTTCACTCATGATTTGGCTCTCTGTTATTGGTGTACAGGAATGCTCGTGATTTTTGCCCATTAATTTTGTATTCTGATTCTTTGCTGAAGTTGCTTATCATCCTACAGTGATTTTTGTGCTGAGATGATGGAGTCTTCTAAATATACCATCCTGTAGTCTGCAAATAGAGACAATTTGACTTCGTCTTTTCCTAATTGCATATCCTTTATTTCTTTTACTTGCCTGATTGCTCTGGCTATAACTTCCAATACTCTGTTGAATAGAAGTGGTTAGAGAGAGTATCCTTGTCTTGTGCCAGATTTCAAAGGGAATACTTCCATTTTTTGCCCATTCAGTATGATATTGGCTGTAGGTTTGTCATAAATAGCCTTCATAATTTTGAGATGGGTTTCATTGATACCCAGTTTATTGAGAGAGTTTTTAGCATAAAGTGCTATTGAATTTTGTCAAACACCTTCTCTGCATCTGTTGAGATTATCATGTGTTTTTGTGTTTGGTTCAGTTTACATGATGGATTACGTTTATACATTAGAGTGTGTTGAACCAGCCTTGCATCTCCAGGACGAAGCCTATTTGATCGTGATGAATAAGCTTTTTGATGTGTTCTTGCATTCAGTTTGCCAGTATTTTATTAAAGATTTTTGCATCAATGTTAATCATGGATATTGGCCTGAAATTTTCTTTTTTAGTTGTGTCTCTGCCAGGTTTTGGTATCAGTCAGGATGATGTTGGTCTCATAAAATGAGTTAGGGAGAATTTCCTCTTTTTGTATTGTTTGGAATAGTTTCAAAAGATATGGTACCAGCTCCTCTTTGTATGTCTGGGAGAATTCGGCTATGAACCCCTCTGGACCTGGACTATTTTTGGTTGGTAGGCTATTAATTGCTGCCTCCCCTTCAGACCTTGTTATTGGTCTATTCAGGGATTCAACTTCTTCCTGGTTTAGTCTTAGGAGAGTATAAGTGTCCAGGAATTTACTCATTGCTTCTAGATTTCCTGGCTTATGTGCATAGAGGTGCTTGTAATAATCACTGATGGTAGTTTGTATTTCTGTGGAATCGGTGATGATATTCCTTTATCATTTCCTTTTTAATTAGTCTGGCTAGCAGTATGTCTATTTTGTTGATTTTTTCAAAAAACCATCTCCTGGATTCACTGATTTTTTTGAAGGTGTTTTTGTCTCTATATCTCCTTCAGAGATCTTAGTTATTTCTGATCTTAGTTATTTCTTGTCTTCTGCTAGCTTTTGAATTTGTTTGATCTTGCTCCTCTAGTTCTTTTATTGTGATACAGTGCATTGGTTTTACATCTTTCCTCGCTTCTCATGTGGGCATTTAGTGCTATCAATTTCCCTCTAGACACTGCTTTAAATGTGCCTCAGAGATTCTAATATGTTGTGTCTTCATTCTCATTGGTTTCAAAGACCATCTTTACTTCTACCTTCATTTCATTATTTATCCAGTAATCATTCAGGAGTAGGTTGTTCAGTTTCCATGCAGTTGTGCAGTTCTGAGTGAGTTTCTTAATCCTGAGTTCTAATTTGACTTCAATGTGGTCCGAAAGACTGGTTGTTATAATTTCCATTCTTTTGCATTTGCTGAGGAGTGGTTTACTTTTAATTATGTGGTTAATTTTAGAGTAAGTACAATGTGGTGCTGAGAAAAAAATATATTCTTTGGATTTGAGGTGAAGAGTTCTGAAAAAGACTATTAGGTCTGCTTGGTCCAGATTTGAGTTCAAGTCCAGGATATCCTTGTTAGTTATCTGTCTCATTGATCTGTCTAATATTGAAAGTCTCCCACTATTGTGTAGGAGTCTAAGTCTCTTTGTCTTTGAGAACTTGCTTTATGTATCTGGGTGCTTCTGTGTTGGGTGCATATATATTTAGGATAATTAGCTCTTTTTGTTGCATTGATCCTTCTACCATTATGTAACAACCTTCTTTGCTCTGTTGATCTTTGTTGGTTTAAAGTCCATTTTATCAGAGACTACAATTGCAACTCCGGTGTCTTTTTTGTTTGTTTGTTTGTTTGTTTGTTTCTCTCCATTTGCTTGATAAATCTTTCTCCATCCCTTTATTT